CGTTTCGAGGGAAGCGAGCACTTGCAGGGCCTTGGTAAGAAGGCTGCAGTTGTTGCGCCGCAGCTCACCTCGCACGTTGCTCTACAGCTTCAAGGCGAGGCGCAGATCCTGAAGGAACGACTCAAGGCTCGCGGGGCGGCGGCCCCTGCGGGGAAGGGCCAGCTGCCCCGCTGGTTTTCCGCTTTCGCGGCCCAAGTCGGGCCGCCTACCAGTCGCTGGCCTCTTCGAGGGCGGTGGTGAGTTTTTGGTAGGGGTATGACCGACGGTCGCCAGCGTGACCTGCTGCCGCTGCCTCGGCGCCATGATCGGGGGGGCCCTTATAGCCCCCTCAGTCGTGGAGTTTGACAACGAATGTGCAGGCTCGCTTGGATGGACACGCGTTCCGATGAGATCATGTGGGCCCTCGATGAGCTGGGGGGCGTCGGCGGGGTATTGCCAGGCTGGCCAGGAGGTGAACAGACCAGGGCTTCCTTTTCACTGCTTCGAGATACTGTTGCCGCTGCGCCCTTGCCGAAGGAGAGGCCCGCACCGCGAGGGGCCCTCGCGGCGCTTCTGCGCGCAGACGCTCGCTATGATGAGTGCGGGTGTGCCGGGGACATTGCGCCGTTTGGCTCGGCTCCAGTCTCCTTGCCGAGCCGCGATCTGGCGGGGGTGGACATCTGCGACGTCTTGCCCGACGCTGCGTCGCACGAGCTCAAGCGGTTTCGCGATGTCATTCTTCTCAGTGGCGAGGAGTGCGCATTGCGCAGCAAGAATGCGGGGCTGCCCAACCTTTACTTTGACCCAGTGCTGGAGGCGCATCCTGCGAGATGGGAGGGTTTTTGTCGGGGGCTGCGTGACGGGGGACTGGTGCGTTGGATTCGAATTTACATACTTACAAATAGTGGTGATTTTCGATTCATATGTGATGCACGAAGGATCAACATTCGATTTTATATTCCAGATGCCATCCAGCTCGCGACTGGGGATTCCCTCAGCCGCTTGGGGGCCAGCCACGATAAGGTCATGTTTCGGCCAGCTTCGACATCAAGGACTGCGTCCACGAGCTCAGGATCGAGGGGGCGCTGTCGCAGTACGTCGCGCTGCCGCCCGTTCGGGCATCGTCGGGGGGGTGGGTGGGCAGCGTCGACGGCATCAAGGTGGGCCCGCGGGAGCTCCTCTACCCAGCGTTGCAGACGCTGCCGATGGGCTTCTCCTGGGCCATGTTGGCTGCGCAGCTGGCCATGCGTGCTGGTCTGCCTCCAGCCGGGCTCTCGCGAGATGGCGCGCCGCCGCCGGGGCTGGAGGATGGGGGGCCGCGCGCTTGGCGTGCGTGGGCAACTTTGGAGTCGTCGGCCGTGATAGAGACGAAGTTTAAGAGCGACATGCACGCGCGCTTGATGGCGCGCGGGAGGCGGGCATCCAAGCCCGCGAGATCGAGCAGATTAGCGCCTCCATGGACACTGTGGGCGTGCACTTGGATGGCCAGAGGCAGGTGGTCTCGCTCTCGTTGCAGCGCGCGTGCCGCCTCCACGCAGGACTGCGTGCCCTCGCGCGGCGAGGCCGCTGTGCAGCGTGGGTGGTGGTGGTGGTGGCGGCGGTGGGTGGGTGGGTGTGCGTGGGTGGGTGGGTGGGGGGGGGGGGCGGGCCATGCTGGGGCACCTGTGCTTCGCTCTCTTACTTCGGCGTTCCTGGTTATCCTGCATCTCGGCCGCCTTCGCCCTCGCCGAGTGCGCGGGGGACGAGGCCGAGAACGTCTGGCCGAGCGTCGAGCGGGAGCTGCTCATCGCCGCCGCCATCCTGCCGCTGATCTACGCGGACCCTGGGGCTGGCTGGCTGGGCCAGGTGGTGGCCGCCGGCGTTAATCAGACTGGACTTGGCGTGCGTGCTGCTGAATGGTCGCCTGATGCCGTTGGATTCGCAGGTCGTCAGGGCGAGCGCTGGGGGTTCAAGAAGGGCCCGCATCGCAGACGCCGAGAGGTCGCCTTGGCTGGCTACGAGATGGGCGAACCCCCGATCGACAGGGACGGCAACGTCATCTGTGCAGAACATCCACCCTGCCTCGGTTACCTAGGCGAAGTGGGCTGTGGTAGCTACGCGGCCGTGTGGCGAGCATGATGGGGCCGTCCACGTTCAGGAAGCGCGGGGGGTCAAGCTGGGCTTCAAGCGCGTGGTGCGATGCGGCCGCTGGCGACACAGTAAGGTCCTCATGCTGATGGACAACGTGGGCCTGGTGCTCGCACTCCAGAACGGCAGGTGAAGGGGTCGCGCTCTGCTGGGCCAGCATGGACAGATTGCTGCCCTTCAGCTGGCTACTGGCCTGCGGGCGCAGTGCCGCTGGATCCCGTCCGAGGTCAACCCTGCCGATCGTCCTTCGCGTCTGTGGGGGCCCACGCTGGAAGCTCCTGGTCACTCGTGGCGTCCTCCTCCTGGGCTTGCTCACCCTGATGACTGGGGTGGTGACGAGGGCGCCTGCGACGAGACGGAGGCCTTCGGCAGGTGTGGTGCCTCGCAACGTGACCTGGCTCTTTGAAGTGACAGCTGCGCTGCCACTTGGGCGCCTGGACCGACGCGCCAGGATGCCGCTGCAGCGGGCGGAGGCAGGGTCAGGTCCATCCGAATTGCCAGCCCTGCTCCGACCGCTGGCGACGCCAGCTGGGCGTCGCGGCGACTCGCGGGGATCGCGGGTCACAACCTCGACAAGGCAGGCTGCCGCCCAGTGCTCAGCCAGCAGCGGGGGCATCTCGTACCCGGAAAACATCGCGGTGCGACGTGTTCAGATCGTGGACTGCAGCAAGCGCGTCCAGGAGTTCTTCGCATTCGCCCGCCGCCAGGACTTCAAACTTGACACCCTGGACCTCTTGGGAAGGGCTCTTGCTGGACTGGGCAGGCCATGCGTTCCTGGGAGACGGGAGGAGACGCTATGTGGCGGTGGCGGTGCTGGTCGCGTTCAGCGCCAACTTGCGGCTGGGGGAGTTGCGTGGGCCCCGCGTTCGGGACGTCGCCCCGCCCGCAGTTGGCTTCGGGCCAGAGTGCCAGAA